TACTTGTAATAAAATTAAGAGGGGAAAAAAAAAGAAAAAAAGGCCACACGAACCAAATCAAAGCACACTGATATTGCAGTCACTGCTTTCATCCCTTCAAGGAATGCTCTGGCTAGAACAGCCTGCAGAAATGATTCTATTCCTTCCCCTGCCCTCCAACATAACCTCTACTACCTGCAGAGAATCGGCACCAAAGCAACACCCTTTAAGGCTTCAGTCTTATCGGTTTAAATTGAAGTAAATTCAGTAATTTAAGAGACCACTTCTTCAGACAGACCGATTTGAAGTTGTTGGAAAGAGAAAAAGAAAGGAGATCTAGTTGCTCCTTGACCATTACGTTCCTTCTCCTTCAGCCACAGTGCCTAAAAAATAATCTATTACTGTACCAGAGAAGTTACATACAAATAAAAGTGGACGTTTCACTGCAGTGTTCCATGATACAAGTGCAGCGTATAATTATTTTGAAAGGAAAACTCCTTTCTAGGACTTCTTTAATTAGGTTGCCCTTTCTCGCATCTCTATCATATAAACTTACTTCTCTCTCCCCCAGTGAAGCACGTCTCTCTATTTCTGCATTGTCATTCTCAAGGCAGACACCTGGACGGCTGCAGAAGGAGATTTTAATCTTCAGTAGCGCAAACTGACTGCCTTGCTTCCCCAGGATGACAAGTGTTTCTTTACCATTTTTCTCCTCCAGACTGTTAACAGACTCTAGTACACAGATTATTCAATCACCAGCAGCAAAGTAAATGTCTAAAATGGGCAGAAAAGCCCAAGACAAAACACTGGAAACAGAGAACAGCTCTTCTAAGGCTGAGATATGAAACTGTAAACACTGTGCATATTCCGAGGAAATTTACTTTTACTCCCTTCAACACGGGCAAATAACTAGTTAAATTCAAATCCAGACCTAAACATCATGAGACAAGAACCCTGGGAAGGCAGAGACAAATTCAGCTACGGGTCACAAATACAAATACCAGCCTCTTAACTGAGAGAAGAAAGGTTATTAACTGAATACCAATCAACACCGATTGCATGCACTTATTTCACCTCTTTTGAACAAGTGAAAAGCCGATGGTCTTGTAACATGAATGTGAATCTGAAGGGAAAAGAAAAAGCAGCTAGCTTACAAGTCATCTTATACTTTTTCCTCCTTAAAGACATTCCCAGACTATTTCAACACAGATTAAATCTAACCATGGAAAACAGGATCCGCAGAGCTTGAAAATAAATAAATTATTTGGGAGGAGGGGTGGGAAAGGAAGAGGAAAAAAATCCTTACCAACTGACTGGCCTTACTGTGCGCTTTTCCAGGAGACCAAGAATTGCTTCTGATGCAGCAGCATTCAGCCCTGGAGAAGTCAGAGAGAGCAAAAAGGGAGGGGAGGTACCAGGAGGGAAGGGAGGGGAGAGGAGGAGAAGGGAGGGCAGAGGAGGAAAGGGGAGGGGACAGCATGTACACTGCATGTCAGTTTGTTGAGCCCTAACATTGCTTTCGGGAAAGAGAAGAATGAAGCTACCGCTAAATCAGGCTGGGAATTGGTTTGCGATGGTTCAGGATGATAAGGGAACGAGATCGTAGTGTGACCATTCGGGCTCAAACCAGAAAGTCAGGAGGAAGAAATGTGTCTATTCAGAGAACCTGGAATGCCAAACATGCTTTTTGCTCCAAAAGGACAGCTCATACTAAAAGTCAAGCAGGGTAAATGCAAGAGCTGCAGCCAAACCTGTCACTGCAATTAGTGAATGAGGGAGGCTGTCCAGAAGGAAGCAAGATTTCCTTGCTTTCCTACAGTCCTCCAAACTCAACTGGCATCCACCTGCAAATCTCACAGATTGTAAACTACCTGGAGTCGTCCTTTCATCTCTTCATTCATGTTTATGTTGCCAGCTGCATCCAAACACAATATGCAGTGCACTGCAGACATTCCTACTTGGAAGACTTTCACCCTAAAGCAGTAAAACATACCAAGGGGCACAGCATACACAACAGCCAGAGTGATAGTATCAAAATACTGTATGCACTTGAACATAAAAATACGCCAGCCATTCTCTCACCAACCAACCATTACATCCCAGACCCACCCTACCATGAAAAGTTAGCTGAATTACAATTTTAGTCCCTGAAGGGAAAATGGGAGGGGAACACTCATTGTTTCAACACATCATCTCACCACCAGTATCTCTGCAGGAGTGGGATGAAAAAATCAAAAAGTGACTTCTCATCTCAGAGGCTCTACCTCTAGTATTCCAAATTTCCCATTCCTCACAAGCCCTTCCGATTTCTTGACATTTACTGCATGGCTATCCAGTTTAACAACCTTTATTCCCTTCAACTAGCAATTTTGCCTCTAGTTAACTGTTGTTCACCATCCTCAGTCAGATGCTTTCCTGGACCTACAAGCCTCCCAAGCCCACAAAACAACCTGAAGTCTTGCACACATGCAGAACCTTGGGAACACTTCCAGCCGCATCCTGGCTGCACAGCATGACGCAGCAAGTGGTCCCGCTGGATGACACAGCTCTGTAAAATTCTGACTGCACAGATCCACAGTGGGGCATAGGAAGGGCTCAGCTGACCCCTTACCTTCAACTGGCTACTTCCCTCCTAGCAAAGGTTGACTTCAGTCCAAAAATTGAGGAAGATCCCAAATCATATGGTGCCAAGGAAAGAGACAGCACCAGAGACACTACAGAATTTTGCAGGTCCGTCTCTGAAAAGCCGACTCCTGTGAAGCTCTCCTCTGCTCCTGATCCATGAAAAAGCAGACAGGCTGTTCTGCTATCTTCTCAGTTTTAAGTAAGCTCTTAGCAGCTGTGGGAAAGACCTATCTTCGCAGTGCTCCGGAATAACACAAAAATCGAACCTCTTACTGTCACAGCAACATAATTCACTGGAGACTCCCAGGTTTACACATTGCCCTTATGGCTCTAGCAAAGTATTACTGACAACTTGATGCGGCACACAGAGCCCCTGTGGCAGATGCTTATCTTAAAAAATGCAAAACACTTGCGTGATGGCTAACAGCCTGCCAGGCGGCTCTTCTCTGGCCCTTCTGAGAAACAACAAACTCTCCCACCCTTACCCCACGCCCCGCTCCCCCCACTGCCATCCCCAGCACACCATCCCACAGACTCAGAACAAACCGAGAAGCATGCCACTCAGTAAAAACAAACATTTTCCTTACAGAGAAAAAAAAAAATTACAGTAAACCCATATATTCCCTTCCTCCACATAAAGCCACAAGCCCAGTGGGTCCCCAAACCCATCCCCACAGCAACTCACAAAGGGTTAGTGCAGCTACATTAATTCGGCTGGAAAGGATTTTCATCACCTTGTCTCTTTCCTCGCCTCTTCTGCTGTTTCAAAAATAGCTCTGGCTTGTTTGCTGTACCGCTTATGTCAGTCTGATTTTATGCCTGACTGGATGTATACAGACAAGCTCGTAGCCCATTAAACACCAACTACCCAGATCTGTACATACATGCACAGTCACACAAACACAAAGCACAGCCCCCTCCCTTGGAGGCCATGCTGGAAAGCTGCTTGTTTTCAGAGGCTTTGCGCAGTATTAAGTATGTTTACAGCAGGCCTCAGACAGGGGCTAGAGAACAGACCACAGCCTTTTCTGAGGTTAAAAAAAAAGCAGAAAAGCAAAACAGCACTAACATCCATCTGTTTCAAAGCTGCAAGTATGGACCTTCCCCGTGATGAAAATACTTTGAAATTTGAGTGCATTTATCAAATGACCTAAGGTCATTTAATTGTATGCTGTTAGCTTTTCTGTCCATTAAAGACAAACAATCCCTCCCGAAGGCTTTGAAAACTATTATCCACAATTGCTGGGAAGGGAAAGGTTATAAGAAGGTACAGACGTGCAGAAATTCTGGAGCAAACTACTCTAAAAACAAACTTCAGGTAAAGTCCTGAATATAAGAAGTTGTCTGAATGAAACTTTTCCTACTAGCGCTTTTTAATCACTGGGTTTTCCTGAACAGCTTTTCGTTTTAGAATAAATCAACTTGCTGGAGCCACTTCACTAATCCCAGATTAATTCCATTCAAATCTGGCATCCTTCCCAAACCAAGTAATCTAAAGCTCAGCCTCCTTTAGCACAGTTCTACCTTCAAGACCCAGCACATCAGCTGTGAGCTGCCTCTGTGATGTATTTTTAAATGAAACTTTCTCAGCATGCCATGACTCAGGAACATTGGTTACCATGAACTGAAGATTTCCACAAGGAAATACAGCACAAAGAAGTCTTGATTGCTCATTCTATCTATGTTCCTACATAGCTATAAAATCCAATACACATTAGCTATTTTATCACTTATTAAAAAAATAAATTAGCACCTACTGACATTTCTTTATGAAGTGCTCCCCTATTACTTATCTGCTAAAAAACCCTCTGAAATTTAAGAGGAAGAAAACCCATATACCATTTCCAGCAGTCACCAGAGTATGAAGATAATATTAAAAGGATGAGCCTCTCAGGCACAGTATCTTGTTACAGGTGTTTGCTTCTAAATGCAATTCTGTATGTATATTAACAGGAAAGAACATACAAACAAAAGCTCACCATATAGCAACAAATTAGCGTCTTAACACACAGTGTATGAAAACTAGTTGGTTTTTGACATTTGAGGACTTCTTCAATTCCAATGGCAACCCAACAAACCAGACACGCAAACAACTGGAACAGACTGCCTGGGGAAACTGTGGAGTCCAGTCGCATAGGTCTTTAATGTCAACATCAGAAATGAATGGTAAAAGTTAGTTCTGCCTTGGGGCTGAGAGGTGACTGCCCAAGATCCCTTTCCAACTATATAGTCCTGACCTCCTGCTTTTTTTTTTTTTTTTTGCATTTTCTGGGGCATTCCTTCTCTCATCTGCTTACTTCTAGCAACGCCTCTTAACTTTCACACCTGTTAAGACTACTATCACACTTACAAATAAGCTTTGAACAAAGTATGAAAATTAAACATTGTCTTCTTACCCATCCTCCTTGTTGAATGATATAGTCTGCAGAATAGTCTTCTAGATATGTCACCCCAAAGTTCACAAGCGCGCTCAGTGGCTCCTGGCCCCGTCTGGTTAACTCCATCAGAAACTGTTGTAGCAGAACCAAGGGTACCAAGACCTTCAAAAAACCAAGAACTGTTAATAAATACAGGAAGCATTATCAGTACTACTGTGTAAGTAAAACAGAATAATTCATACGGTCCACAAAAAAGGTCTGAATCTACAAGTCCAAAGATATCAGGGACTATAGGCTTCATTTTTGTGAAGATGCTAGGCAGAAACACAATACAATTCACTAGGAAAGAAGCACTTAATCTGATAAGCCAAACACCACAGCCTAACTTGAGCGTTTCATGGAACAGGACTGCCATGCTTTCTTAATACCCATTTTTTCCCAACATAAGATTGAGGTAAAGAAACAGGTCCAGAACTTGCTACCCCAGAAATGGAAAGAAATAAACGGTTTGAAGGGATATGCACCCAAAGTGTATTTAAACAGCAAACTCATACACATTCTTGAATAGATACACTGCACTAGACAGTCTCTTCACAAGTTCACACTTGGCTTTCAGACAGGACAGAAACAAACAACTCCTCCCAGCAGCATAACGTTACAGAGATGTCTAAAATGACAAACGCAAACCCCTCTCCCTGTTAAACTCTCCCTCCTAGCCAAATTTAACACATACAGACTTCCCTCCCTCATTTGCTACTCCCATTCCTCCTTCCAAGCCTTTTGTCTTTTACTGAATGCCCAGCCTTAACCCAACTGTGAATTGCTCTGGAAGATGCAAGACTCTGAGAACCCACCTCCTTTCTAGTATGCAGTTGTAGACACTTCCTTCTGAAATTATGTTTTTGTTTGCCTAAACAACATGCACTTGAACTTTTAAACTCTAAATTTATTCTCCTAGAGCACGCAAGTGGCCCTCTGGGCAAAGTTTATATGCAGCACTTTGCCAAGTTCAGGAAACTGGTATGAATCGAAGTCATTAGCATCTGAAAAAGCACTATTATGGTACAAGAGAAAAATGTTTGTAAACTTTACTGTACCTAGTTTGTGACAACTGCATTGCACATCTATTCACTGTACAAATAAGAATGTTGCTTCCCAGCTGCACATAGTAGAGGCCAGCTAATACTACTGCTCAGACTGAACTTCAAATGCCTCCTTCCTTTCCCAGTCTCCTCCTCCTTCAGCCTGATTTTTCTTTTCTGTAAATATCCTCCATTACTATTCCAGAAATCACACCTTAGGACGCAAAGCTGGAGGAAGACGAATAGGAAAAGTAGGATGGGTTTGAGATTTGTACTAAATCCATGGTGGAGTCACACTGAGATGGATCACTAAAAACAGATGTGGCGTTAAAAATGCCTGTAATCTGATAAATGTAAGATGTTCCAGCTGATTAACAACCAAGAGATCCAATACTGTGGCAGACAGGTTATGGTACTGTTCTTCTGAGACAAACAGTTAACACTGCCTGCAGTCACTTTACTAGGAACAAGATAGTGCTTGAATTTTAAAAGCCTCGGGGTTTTTTGAGTTTCTTGTAATTAATCTCAACTCAGAGGCAGAAGAGGTAGGTGCAGTCTTACAGTGCACAAACATAAGGAGCAGGTCAAGGTGAGGTAAGTGTCAGAAGAAGCTTCAGTTTTTTTGGATCAAAGAAAAAAAGCATGCTGTCAAGAGTAGGGATCTTTCAGAGGTTTTGGGCACACCCACATAACTCTGCAGCAGCACGAACATTGAGATCTCAAAAATATTTGACATTTACTTAAGCTGAAAGCAAGAGAAACAAAGGCAAAAAAAGGCTGCTTAGGACATGAAGGGAGCTCAAATGTTGGCATACTGAACATGATTATCGCCATCTTCCTTTGCCAACTTAAATATCTAATCCATCCATTCTTCCCAAATTTAGCAATCCCTGCAGGCCTCAGGAGCGAGGGACCAAATTCAAACTCTAATATCCAGTCCCATGCAGACCAACAAACACTGCGTGGTTTTCCTTTCCCGCTGAAATTATTGACACTTCTGTCGTTGACACCAGTAGCAGTAGGAACAGGTTTGCATGATACTGTCCCTAAGTTCATGAAAGAAATTACCTTTGCAGTACTTCCATAAAGGTTATCAACAGCTTTCTGTACATAACAGCAGCTACATGAATGGCGATGAGATTTAACTAGACCCAAGTAAAAATACGGCCTTAACAATTCAAAGCAACTGCAATTCCCTCCACCAGTATGCCTGGGAAGGAATGCCTAGGGGCTATTTATATTTTGACTGAAGAAAAACATACACAATATCAAGCACAGCATGCCAGAAAACAGTTGGCAGGAGAAAACTTCTAGGGAATCATTAAAGAAAAAAAACCACTTTACTATCAAAGATTTCTGATTAATTTTGTAAATGAAAGATTTTTGTCAATTATACTATGGCAATCCCATAGTACAATATTACAAATTTAAAGGTATGCAAAAAAAAAAAAATACTACAAAGAAAGTTCACAGACTTTGAAGAAGCTATATCCAAAGTAACTGCCACTTCTGTGTACCTTTTGGCTATTTCAACATAAAATTCATCTAACTCTTTACGCGATTACTTCTTACATTTTTGTTGTATTATTCTTTAGCGCCATTAATCAGTAAAAATGGGACAAGATGACTGCTAATCTACTTACCAGTTCAGTTGACTCTCATATCAGTATTAGTTATCCTTTTATCTGATGTACAATAGTGGGGTTATGTATTTTGGAGTATGTATATAATATTCAATTTTAAGCAAAAAGCGTAACTTTATTACATTTATTTTATTTTATTACAGAAATATAATTTGCCTTAAGTTTGAGGTGGTTTTGGTTTTGTTTTGTTTTAATGACAGCCTTGTATTTGAAATAAGGTGAAGACTCCTCCTTTTCTTTACAGAATCCAACACCACGCCTATTATTTTCACATCACAATCTCTGAGAAATACATGAAATAATTTATTTTCCTGAAATTCTTTTATAGAGAACCAGTACTGCTAATGTCTGGGGGTAAACTGTGGGATGTTAATGAAAGAACTGATGTTACTATGTATTAGTTTACCCTGCCATTCAGATTGATATTCATGTTTTAGTGACTGAAAACATTCCTTTACATCCCATGTGCTAGTCAGTTAACTGGATCTCTTCAGCAATTCAAACATACCACTGCACTCTGGAAAAGATCCACATTTTTAAATGGAAAAAAATAACAGCTATATTTAGAAGTGTCTTCTTTCTGCTCATGCTTGTATAATGAATAGGTTCTTTGAAAACTGGTGCAACTAAAAATTACACCTTCCCAATTGTAAACCAGACAGATCAAGCCTTTGTCCACATTCAACATCCAGCCAGCTAGGTAATCCAATTCCTCCCAGGAAACCATATGCCATGTTTCTCATACACACAACACCAAGGAAGATTTGCAAAGACTACTTTGAATCTGCTTTATGCCACAGAGATACGGGGCCTTTAAGTGATCAGTGTGGCGTTCCGAGTGCATCGCATTCAATACGTTAAATAGGTGGGGCTTTTATAGATACATATGTATAACAATACATGCCTACAACAGCAAAGGCTCAGAAATTTAAAGTGAGATTTTATATACTAGTTCATAGGCTACTGAAAGCAAAAAGAACATCTTCCTGTGCAAGATGCCACTATGGAGCGTAACAGATACAGCTTACATGTAACTAAAAACACATTTAATCTACTAGCTTCAATTGTTTTATTTCTGCTAGTCTGGATCAAACCACAAGCCTGGATCACACAGAATTCTGTCTGTGGGACGGTATTCCCACATTTTTAACACTTTGACATCTGCCACAGCTACTGTGCATCTTCAATTTCTGCTGCACCCAAGAAACTACAGGATATGTAAGGCCCATGAGCATGTAACAGGGATTGATTTATTATTCTGCTCAGCTAGTTGTATGTTTTCTTATTATTTAGTCATAAAAGGGAGTAAGCGTCAGTTCTCCTGATAGAGACAATTTAAATATATACCCTTCAGATTTTCACAAACTTGAGGCCAGCACAGCCTCATTTTACTGCTGTATGCCTGCTAATTAGACCTAACACTATGTCTATTTATAGCTACTTTCAAAAATTATTTTTCTAACAGCTTCTTCTTTAGAATAAAAACTAAGCTAGGTTGAGATTGGAGGAAAGATATCTCGATCTCTTCTGTTATAAAATACAATTCTGATTAAGATGATAAAGGAATTTATAAGGAAATGAAACCAACATAGATGTATTCTATTTCCTCAAAACAAGTATTATTAAAGGAACTGCTCAGCATTCTTGAAGCATCAAGCTACCACAAAAACAATACAAACAGATGCTGTACTATTCTACAAAATTTCCATTCTGGTTTGCTTGTGGACTTGCACTTTGCTTGTGCTTGTTTTGTAGCAACAAATATTACGGGTAAGCAGAGACAATGACAAAGACATCTTCTGGATGATACCCTCACTCAGAAGCTGATGGGGACCAAAATCCACTAGCCACAGGGGCTGCACGGACATAGCAGCAATGGAGGCTGAATTGTAAAACCCCAAATGTGGCTCATCCATCTCCCCAGGGCTCTGTCTTCAAGAGGTGTGTAGCAATAGCATATGGAGATGCAGTGGGCAACTGACAAGCTCCATCCACCTCTTCCCTTGCCAGCTGAGCTACAATGACTGGTTTTATGCTTGGTTTTAGTTTTCACCAACTGAAAAAGTAAAATGTGCTAGCTTAAGCCACTTTCTTGATAATCAGATTTCATGGTTGTTTAAACTAAAATCCTATGAATCACAACACAATAAACTGAAAGTGTGCTCATGCCAATTATAATTGCTGGAGGCAGGGGCTGTAACTTGGCAAGCAATATTTAATAAACCACACCCTTGGTTAGATGATCAGTTTCTGAAGTCAGCAGGGAAATCTGGTTGAGAGAAGTATTTCTGGAAAAAAAATTTCATGAGGGAAAAAGATTTCTTGTTCCATTTTAAATTTAAGGCTAAATTTTAATACTCAATTTGTGATTTAATTTAGAAATAGTTATTTCATTCTTTCATTCTTTTTCTGATGCCCACTGAACCCATCAGAGAATGACTAAGTTGATGAATTTGAATGATTAATGAAAGATTAATCTGGGAACAGTAATTCTACTCATTCTACATTAAAAGTATTGTAAGATAGTTCGTTTACAGTTTTTCATTTTGTTTTAAAAAGAAGCTTCATATCATTTGAGATAACTACTCCTGAAACCAGGTAGGAACACTATCCTTAGGTTCTCTGAACCATTTCTATATTCTGAAGATACTATCAATTTTTATTTTCATCATGTTTAGCATTTTTTGACATATGTTTTGAGCCTCAGATGGAAGCGAAGAAAAGTAGAGAAATACTATGAAAACATCTATCTTGGATTTCATTACCAAACTGCTAAAATAATAAATCACTCTTGGGAATTTAAAAACGTTTAGTGAATACTGTAAAAAAATTACGTCAAGCAACAACTCTAACTTTTCTTTCTACTATAAGAAGATTGACCTAATACTTCCATTAGATGACTTCTGTTTAATTATCTAATTAAAAACTATTTTGTCCACATCTACCATTCTGAGAGTCAAAATTATTTCACAATAAAACCAAGTTATTCTTGTTCCTCTCTGAAGCATAACTGTACCTAGTAAAAAAACACTGTGGAGATCAAATAGATGCAAGAGATATCAAAATGAAAGTCACTTATTTGGTACCTTGTTCCATCCACTGGCATGAGCAGCTGTCTCTTGTGTGCGCTCTCGATACTCTTGATATGTCACCGGCCTGCAGAAGTTAAACCAACACTGAAAGTTATAAAAGGAAACAAAAGAACATGAATAAAATTAAATTCTCAGTTTTCAGAGAACAAAATATTTTCACATGTATTACAGCAAATAATTTTCAAGAGCTAACATGTCTTGCATTTTAGGACATAAAACACCAGCACCGGACAATTGATTAAGTGAATTTCATAATAATTTGACAGTCTGAAGCTAAAATGACTTCACAGAAGTAGGTTCTCTGATATGCTACCAAAATTTCTAAGCTCTTGCATATAGTTTTTTATAATCTGAGAGTTTAAAGATAAAAAATTCCACTAAGAAATTCACTCGTGAGATAAGAGGTCAATGCAGAGTAAAATTTTTATAAACTATATAGTCTATGAATGAACACAGGCTGACTGACTGCATTAAGTTACAGCTGAAGCCTTTATTTGCAAGAAACAGCACTTCTGATTACAAAAACCCCCTTTGTAGTTCAGTAGATACCTCTATTTTAGACTCACTGCATCTCTACTTCTCTGAATTGGGATGGTGAAATTCCCCTCCTCCATACTCCTTCCTCCAAGATCATACATCATCACAGAGTCAGCAACAGTAAAGACTTTCTGCCAAGTGACAGCATAAGATGTACTGCTTCAAAAGCAGTTGTCCTAAGCCAGATCATGACAAAAGGCAAGTTCAGACTTTAGCTTAAGGGAAGTAGTGGTAACTGGTATTGGACAGAAGACTGCTTATTGAACTCCAAGAAGCTGTCATGATCTAACAGCCTGCTGTACCATAAACATACTTGTTCATATGTATATAAGAGGACAGGAAAATATAAGCAAAATAAGTACTGCCTCAAATTGCACTACTGTAGCAAGTATGGGTAAAAAACCAGAGCTAAAGCACACACCAAAATTTGGGTTTGTCATTTTAAGTGCATTCTCTTAACTTCCTTGGTACATTAGTTCCTTTAAAACGCAAATCCAAATGAATCAGTGGGATGAGAAGAGCAACAACAGCTGCAGGAAGGATATTATCAAGAGATTAAACAGTAGCTCTAGTTTGCCTTATAAAAAGGCATGCGTGTCAACACGTTTTCACAGGCATTCCAGACTTTATATGTATGGATGTACGTATGTATACAAATAAAAGAAATACTCAGAATGCAAATATTTTCCTATGGAAAACACAAGATGGCTAGAACATCAGGCTACTAACAATCAAAAACTACTTAATTTACAAAGACCTCATCTCAGGAACTCTCCAAAAAGAATCAACCTAGAGTACACCAGGTATGACCCCTCAATGTCAGTCAGCCAACTATCTACAACCTTTAAGACATTTAAACTTAAAATGCTTTTGTTTCAATTTACCATTTCAGACACATAAGGGTGTGGGTTGCAAGGCTTACTACTAATTTTCCAACTTGTCACCAGTCTGGTTTTTCAGTGTGTCGTGAGGTATTTATCAAAACCTCAGTTCTTCAGAAGATACTAAGTACAAGTTTTTAAGGCCACGTAGGGCAAATGCATGGCTTGTAAAGGCAGATAAGCTTCTGCCATTTTGGAGGAATGCACTAGCATTTCTTTTGCCACTTAAGGAGAAACTTGTACCCCACATACTCTTTTCTGTGGGTAAATAATTGTTAGTTTACACAATACCGAACTTGCTTTTTGACTCTGTAAGTGTAGAAGCAGACAGTATATATATTAGTTTCTGAAAGTTAGATGGTGAGTTGACCGAGTCTACTTTTCCCTTGGATGGAAAAAGAGACAACCATTGCCATCTGTCTGGTCAGACGTTACATGGCACTTTTGCTGTGAAATCCAGGTCAGAATCATAGCATCAAAGGGTGGTTTGAGTTAGACGGGACCTTTAAAGATCATGGGCAGAGACACCTTTCACTGCATCACATTGCGCAAAGCCCCATCATATCTGACTTTGAACAGTCAGTTTTAAATTATATTAGTCATAAAAAGTCAACCCTTTGTTGTTGACTAGGGAGCTAGTTACGGTATAAATGGGCTAGTTAAGGAATCACAGAATGGTTGAGGTTGGAAGGCACTGCTGTACAACATCCTGTCCAACCTCCCTGCTCAAGCGAGGTTTCCTACAGGAGGCTTCCCAGGCCCAAGTCCAGACGGCTTTTGAGTATCTCCAAGGACGGAGACTCCACAATCCCTCTGGACAGCCTGTGCCAGTGCTCAGTCACCCTCATAGTAAAAAGGTGTTTCCTGATGTTCAGATGGAATCAATTCCAAATTCATAATCTTCCAGAAGTCTGTCATGAAGGGTATTACCTTCATGAGGGCATGAGATGCCTCTCCAATGCATGTATGGAAGGCTTAAGCCCCATGTATCAGAAAGTTTACACTGGGCACCGATATCTAGGCTTCCAGTACCTTGTTGTTCAAACAGTTCATGAACAGCTACACAAACTCTGAAAGAGTAGTACTAGAGATTCTCAGCTTCTTTTGAGCCATATTATTTAAACCAATCCACAAAAGATAGACTCAGATAGCTATTTGCTAATGCTGCCTTCACAACTGCATTTATGTAACTGTCCCTAAAGTAGCACCTTTCAACTCCAGCTCTCTCAAATACATTTTGGAGGTCACTCAGAACAGCCAGAAGTAGTTCATGTGGATCCATTAAAATCAGCCTGGTAGTTTATAACAGAAAAACAAGCAACTACAACAATTCTACCAATTTGCAAAAGTAGCATTCATTCCAAGTACAATGTGCTATTTAAGCAATAAGCTTAAACTGGCAGGACAGCCCAGGGGCCCACATTTACTTCAGATGTGTGCCTGGGTGGTAGTCATGAAGGGAAACTCTCTCACTTATCTTGAGCCAGACTTCAGCTCTACTCTTAACTATAAGGCAAAAAAAGTTAATCTGGCTACAGCCCAGCATTTATGAAATTGGCAATGGCAACTGGCACCTGCAAGCTGCTGGTTTCACCAGCAACTCAAACTACTTGAATTAGTCCCAGATGTTCAATGATAAAAGATTAGAAAAGTTTTAGAACTTATATGACTGCAAAGAGCAAAACACCACAAAGAAGTATTAGCACGTTACAACACAAAACAAAAACCAGCCAGATAAAGGAACATTGAAAAAGAAAGAAATGCAATACAAAATGTATTCCCAACTCTAGGATTTCAGCAGCAGGCACAATGCAAAAGGAAACACCTTCCCTTTGAAAAAGCAAATGGAAACTCACTTGCTAAGCAAGCTCTGCAGTGCTTTGTGCAGATGTTCTTTCAATTCCTGGGACACTTTCTCCCCTAAGTGAGCCAGGCAGTCTTCTATTGAGCTCTCTGGATTGGCAGGACTGAACACTGGGGAAGTATGGCAGTCAAATCCTGTAGTGGTAAATGCTGAGAGAAGAAAGCATTCAAAATAAAGTAAAATAGATTCATATAAGAACATCAACAGTCTCAGATTTCTTATCCCACCAGTTCACACAGTTTACATAAGGGACAAAGAAATCACAACCCTGTAGTCAAAGCATGCTATGAACAAATTGTAGTAAAAGAAGTATGGTCCAAATATATTGTGGGAGCGGTACTTACAAGCCACAGATGACTTTGAGCTACATTTCCCCCCCAGCTTGTATTTCACAACTGCATCCTAACCAGCAAGTTAGCTGAAGATGCAACTAATCTCAATTTTAAGCTGATGCCAACCCCAGTGGAGCAGCAAGAGAGCCTCTTTTCCATGGTAAAATTTGCCCACGCATGGGCATATCTGCAGCAGTAACAGAGTATCATTTTAAAAAATAATATTTTGTTCATATAACCTTTTCCTTCTCAGTTTAAAACTTCTAAGAAAGGTCTGTATGGATGAACGTAAACAGATCTAGAGCCTCTCTACTTCAGATTTCCAATTTGCAACATACATGCAAGGCAAAGTTTGTTTCTAAATCATCTCTTGCTGGTAGTCCTACAAAAGCCACATCTATAGTCAAAGAATGTCACAAAAAATAAACCTGGTGGAAGTAAGAAATCAGATGGTTCAAGTCCACACTCCCCTGAATGTTAGCTGCTGAGGAATGATTTCACTTCTGTCATCAACTGGAGCAGCTTAAGGACTGCTTACATATCATTATTTATAGTAGCCTATTAAATGTCACTCAATTGTTTGCTTTGGCTAGACTCCACTGCTCCAAACGGTAACGTTTAACTATTTTACTTCATGTGACAATGTGTGGAAATCTTGTGGGGGAGGAGGGTAAAGAGATTCATTGCATCCAAGTCTCTTTAACTAGAGTACCTGTTACAGATTAACCACCATTATAGGGCATAGAAATTATCAACTGAAATGGAAAAATCTGAAGAGCACCTTCCAAGATTTCTTCATCAAGATGTTTTAGTTCCTCCTCGATTTCTATTTTAATCTTCTCCAAAGCCTCTTTCTCCAAAGCATGTTGTGCTATAAGCTGTTGTTGAGTCCCTAAAAGAAACCAGAGAAATTATTCAGATGTAGTATTTCAAATAAGGTAGATAATGGAACATCATACAGAAATATTAACTATAAAGAAATTCAAGGTGAAAGTTCTATTTCAGACAGCAACATAAAAAGTCTGATCCCTTAAGGGCACTTATTACAAAAGTTTTATTATATGAACAGAAACACATAAACTTCCAGGCCTATCCAAGATAAAGAGGTGCTTTAAATATGAATATATATATATAAAAAAATCAGAACTGTAAAGTCACAAGCAGAATATATAACGGCTTTAAAAACAAGCTTGTCTTAAATTTAAGACCAAAATCAAACAAAGACACATAAACAACCAGTCACTGAAACTAATACACTCATGATCAAATTACACCAAAACAAAGTGGACACAGGCATAAGCTTGATTTTTAGTAAGAAACTATAAAAATTATATTGATGCCTGCAAAATCTACAAAAATACTCAGAGCAACTATGCAATGACATCAGTGAAGAGTCCCAAAATCTATTAACTATGTATCATGTCATTGCTCACGAGGAGTCTACAGGCCACAATGAAATAATCTAAGACTGGGTTCACAAGTAAATAAGAGAGGTAAAGAACCCCAGTCAGTCAATTGTCAATTCTCATCTCCTAATCAAGTCATTTAGGAATTTGAAATGGCTGTATATCCACAGAAGTACACATGCCGTGGTCTGGGATCCCAAATACATATTCCGTGCGCTGACTCTAGCTATTTGATAACAAGAAGTTGTTTCAACCATATCATTCAGGATTACATAGACTCCAAATCACCTTAATTATTATGCTGTAGCAGAAGAGAAATAAAAAATTGTTTCAAAACAAGCCAATGTAAAACATTCAAATCTTTAAGGAACTGCCTGCTGAATGTCAACCTTTCCGATACAATGCCATATGGCAAGGTAACTACTGAAGTAACTGCTTTATGGAATGGGTACCAATGGAAAACACTAGATGTCTGGGACAGAGCTCCAGCTCAAAACTCGCTTTTAGCTGCTTTTTCTTTGGGTTTGCTAATCTTTATTTCTTCCGTCAGCTTTCAAGCATGTCTTCAAATCCCATTCTTAAAGCATAATACAAAAGCTGTTTGATTAACAGCTGTCTTATTTTCACCAAACATCACTGAATCAACAGTCAACACTGAAATTTTCTTCTTCCTTCCTTTTGATTCCTTCAAATGTCCTAGAGAGAAAATCCATCTCTCTTATACCCATACAAATATAAAAGTGAATTTTTTATCAACTTACTCCTGAAATAAATAAATAAACAAATAAAATTGACCACAAAACTTCCCTTTGCTAAGTAATCCCCCTTCCAGCCATTTCCTTCCCTGAGTTTTGGGTCAATTATCAGTCCTCATTAGCCCTGCACTCTGCTACTTTCAACAGTATCAGTGACTGGGTTACCCACAACACATTTTCTTAACTCTCTTACTTCTGAATATTCCTTAGAATTCTTTTTTGAGACTTCACGTTCTCTCATGTCCTTGATTTAAACACCATGTCCTGGCCGACCTTCTGATAACGTTGCCAATGTCCACTGTTTCTTACTCATACACCCAAATACTGATGACTCTCCAACCTGTCTCACCCTCTCTCCACCTACATCAACTGCCTACTATTCCCCCTGGGCACCTAGACATCATTCTGCTCTGCAGAGGCTCTTCACACACTTGAAGAAAATAAAAAGGAAAAGGATTTGTATTTGTAAGGCTGGTATCATCTGGCTTCATTTCTTCCTCATCACTTATATTTCACACCCAAATCTTCAGGTAAGTCCTGCAACACCCAGTGTAGCTTTCTGGCATGTCTGTTTTCATTCCTGTTTTGAAGACACTAAATCATAATTTGGTGGTCTTATGAACAGCTGTCTGTTTTCTTCGGTTCATCTCGACTTAAACCTGCTTAAACTCACTTTAAATGTTGTATCACCTTCCCCTTTCCTCCATCTTGGACAAACAATATCACTAGTTTTCATATCAGAGTGTGTGAAAACCATAAAAACAATACTAGCTAACACACACAGATGTGTAGTAAAGTACGTTGTGCATTTTCTGTATTTAAAAAAAACACTAGACAATAAGCTTGCAAGGTCTCCTACATTTGAAAAGTAAGTTAAAAATCCACAGAATCAACCCACCGAATGCGTGCTAATGCTTAAAAACTCATCGCTCAATAGATACCTGTGAGACAACATCTTTCTAAACCAATGTACAAGTCAGTGTAAAATGTTTACATTTATTTATGTGAACGGTTTAAAGGAACAACAGTTTAATTCCTTTTTACTTAACCACACAGTTAGACAGATCATCATCACTATGTTCAGAATAACTTTAGTTAGCTTCTTAAATTCCTTCTCAAACAGTTTCTCTTTGCCACTCTGAACAATAAATTCCAGAGAGGAGCAAACTGTTCCTGCTTTTGGTTAATGAACAGACACTCACTAATGCCTTGTCAGTCTTTCTAAGGTCACCTCTTTGAATGACCGAACCACTGCTTCACAGTCAAGCACAAGAAGTATATGCAAGTACAAACTCTTATTTTAACCTGTGCTTCACCCTTTATATGGAAGGGATGAGGGTATTCAGGAGAGCACCCGTTCTCACGGGACCAACATGATGATGATCACACATGACAAGCTGTCATACTTGATAATAAGTCACCCGGAAAATGGAAGGAAGAGAAATTCCATTGCTGCCAGCTTACAAAAGAGCTGTTTAGATAATCAGTGCTGCAGTCAATGGTTTCCATCTCGTAACACCCACAACTTTGCAGCAGCTGCTGATTCCAATAGCACCTGACTATTCAGTCGTGCCAAAACATCAAAAACCTGCCCCTCCCGGACCAGTGACTTGGCACCATTTATTCCCCTAATTATCAATGGACTTCAGATTTCTCCATCTCCTATATGTTGACCACTACCAACAAAAATTGCACTGCATGTTGGAGAACAGCCTGTTCCAACAGCAAAGGTCCTAACCAAGCAGTCTTTTTTTCCTTTAGACAACTTCCAAGTCAGTTTGCAAACAGGTAGAATAAACCAGTAAAAATAGCTTCTAGTAGATGAAGACATATTTTCATTGTTTAATAATACAAATGGTCACACCAGAAACGGTACTTGTAAGATCCATAAACATTGAATGCTTTCCTATGCTGAAAAAATGGGTTTGCCTATTACAGGCTTTTGGTAAATGACTCTGAAAGGCCTCTTCCCAACCTAAAGACACAACAAACCTCTGTTACACAGTCTTACATGAAGAAGATAGTGCATTCTACTTTCTATTTATGGAATAAATGTTCCCTTTTGCAGAAGTATGTTCTTGTTAAGATTTTGGTTTTTGGGTATTTGGAGGTAACTTGCAAAGGAGGAGAAAATGTATGCTAAAAGTCCATCAAGCACCGCATCACTGATAATCAGACAGGGTTATGACTAGTAAATAAATGTAATACTTCAGTAAAACTCCACCAGTAAGGCCGTTCCAGAAGTTTAGTAAGAATACAAGACTAACCTGTTCCCCCGGTTTGATCCCAGGAGGAGGAGGAGGGATGGGAAGTCATTCATGAGAGCGAGGGAAGCCTGCACATCTGATTCTACAGTGTTTGTGGTGAACTACAGCTAACAAGAGACTACATCAACTTTACAGAGAGACTGAAATGGTGTTATGCCTTTTTAGTTCAAGTGAAGTGAATGCAGAGTGAATGAAAAAGAAAGCCACTGATGTCACAGATTGGTCCTGATATTTTTTTCTTTCATGCTTGTAATTTTAATTCACCAATATCTCTGTTTTCAAGTTCTCCCGGGTCTCTGTATTAACTTCTGTATAGTCAACATTTACTTTCAGCATGGTTTCTAGTATTCCTTTAATATCTCAGAATTCTTAAAACAATGAGAATAAGTAAGTGTCTAAAATTTCTGTAAGCACCGAGAAGTGACAAAAATATATGTGAAATCTCTTTAAAAACGTATTCATTTGTTTCCTTTAATGAAAAGTACATCTATTACCCAAGCAAACTCCAGAACACAGACTGCCATACATAAATGTGGCCCTAGATTTGTTTAGAAATGTTTAAAAGCAGCTCTTTATAAACCATAAGAAGGCTCAGTTTGAAAGAAACTAAAAAAGTCCAGAATATTAAGAATAAAAGAGATAAAACGTTGCCAACTAGCAGTCAATTTTTGGGGGGGCAGAGAGGAGGCTTAATTAAGTGGGAATTCACATTCCTGGAGGGACTACCTCTTACTTCTCCAAGTCACAGCCCAAAAACTCTCTTTCCTTGCCTCAGATCAGGAAATACCTTCCTCATTACCATGAACTGGACTGGTCTGACCTACAACATGTACCTTTTCAGCCAAAGTAGGCATGTTGTACCTTAAGAGGAAAGTTTCTAAGGTATGAGTTATTCACGTAAGCTAAAACCACCTCAAAAACTCCTTCATTTCCTACAGACCAACAGTAGGTAGTCTGAAGGGATGGAGTACAAAGAAAACCAAGATATTTGGCAACAGCCAAAGTGTCACCTGATGACAGAAAATCTTGCAACGACAGGCATCCAACCCCTGACGGTTAAAACCATATAAAAGAGGCACTACCGTTAGATTTGGGATGGCCACTAAGGAGACTAAGACGTAACAGAGTTCACTTCTAACCGAAGCAAGTGAACAAATAAATGTAAAACCCTTTTCTCTCAGTAACCCAGTTCAACACCGCTGTAAGAAATGTGCGTGGGAAACCACTAAAATGCCTCGATCACTGACTAAATACAGCACTTCATACAGTAAGTCCAAAACAGATAATAAATGATCAAAAGAACATTGTACACAATAATTGGATTAAAGTACTGTGGATAGCATGCGCCTCAGGGAATCTGTAAAACTGTCAAAACCTTGTTCACCTCTTGAGTAATCTATGCCACCATGCCACAGTGGCATTGATTATAAATCTTCCAGATGCTATGTGAGCTAAGGGATTATTCAAGATTCCTCATTCTGTCAAGGAAAACACAAAAAAACTACTTTCCTTCAGAATCTTCGTTATAGCCACAGGCTTATGGGATGGGGTCTAACTACGGGGAAGTAGATTAAAAAACAGAAATACACTAAAAGTCACTCCTTGATGAATCACAAAGGAGCATTTATAATACAAATATATTGAATCACAAAACCAAAGTTCTTTGACTCACTTAGAAAGTAAGTAGTACTAACAACTGCAGCAGACTGGAAGCTGCTATAATGAACATGAACTTCAGAGGGAAAAATGTAGAAATGTTTTCCAATACTTGATATTTATTTTCTGTGTATGAACCAGTAGTTATAGATACTACAAGAGTTCCAAAAAAATGCTAAAGCATCTCTCCACAATCTAATAAACAGATAACTGAGAGCTTCCACACTTGCACACATTTTAAATAATTGTACTCGCCCGTTGCCTCAAACCACATGAACTTACACAGATATTTTATTGCATGTGTTGTATCTGATTTATCCAAGCAACTTGTATTATTCACCTACCTGAAAAACTACCAAAAAGTAACAGAATTTACTGCTAACGGACTTTGCTTTAAATAAATTGAAGTGAGTGCTATGCAGAATCACTATTCTGCCAAAAGTGTAATAGGAATAATCTCTCAAACCATTGCCCAGCTAGGTTTGCTGGATTTTCCTCTGGACACACTGAAATCTACTATAGAATACTACTTTGAAATTAACTACAGAATACTATAGAGCTAACTATGTGTTAAAAGATTGGTTTGTCCAATAAAACTGTCTTTTATTCAAGAGCCTGGAATACTGTGGATGGTTCTCTCTTTAGTCCCTGCACTGAAGAGAAGCTATCTAAATAAAAATTTCAAAGTAGTAATCAGATGTTGATTGAGATCGGCCTTCTTTGCTTGAAGCCAGAAGCTCTTGTAATTGAAGCCATCTTCCCTGCAACAAAATCAAGACCAACCAAGAGATCCAAAAGGAAATACAGTGAGGTAATTTTCTATGTAATTTGTCTGTTTTCTCTTCGTGAAATAATATCCTTCCGAAAACCATTGGTCTTGTAAAGCATGTTAAGTCTGCAAAAAATGAGAAATTTTAAGTTGAAATCTAACAAATACCTTAAAGAGAGTTTTTGAAATAAAAAGACATACATCAGAAAAAGATCTCTCTAGTACAAAATGCTGGAAAGCAGAAGTTTGTGGGATATGACTGTAGGAGGAAAGGAAGGGAAACAGACAAAAGCATTCAATTTCTCCTACCAGTTCTAGCAGAGAGAAAATAGTACCCCTCCTGTTGGGAAAGATCACTTTTTTTGGTTGTTTTTTTGACCCATTCTCTAGTTTAACTGGAGTGTTGAAACTTCACTGAAATCTGGGGAGACTGCTGTAGAAGGAGACTAGAGGGAGGCACGGAAATACTAACCACACCTAGTGGGCCTTATTTCCCCATGTTCTGTATACATGCAATGGAAAGAGAGAAGATCCTCCAGCAGGTGATACAAGGTGGCTGTAATTAGGATCCTGCTCGAACTGCCCCCGAACTGAGCAGTCCCTCACTCTCCGATACCAAAGGAGACGAAAGAGGTTAACATTACGAGGGCAAACTAAAACTAGCCTTCCTGGATACTACCCTTATATTGTAATATGATACAGAAATCAGACAAGAGAGTAAGGACTTACTTGGATCTAAGAAAAATATATGAAGGGAAAGTACTATATACCAGAGTCAATACCTCATATGAATGAAACACATAAAATAGAAAAGTGTTCTGCAACTAAAATAGAAACAGGCAGTAGCCAAAATCACTGCTTCAGTTGCTTCCCATGAAAGTCTGTCAGAACAATAAACAAATGAAAGCAAAATAAGATTAAGTGACAGGTACTTTGTATCAGAATCCTCTCAGTTCAAAAATCAACAGCGTTCAGCCATTAGAGAGTAGAAAGACTACTGCCCAATGTTTTAAAGTACCACAAAAATCATCAATGAAAGAACTCAAGATACCGTATCAATAGTGGATGACAGTGCTTGAAAAACACACTGACAAGCACGATGTAATGTCACACTGTTATTATCATAGAATCATAGAATGTTTTATCTCTTATATGCCTTCATTACCAAAACCCAGTAGCTTCCTCCTCATGATGGGATTCTACACAACAACTATTCATTTTCAATTTACTGGCTTTCACATCTCTTTTGTTCTAACCAGGCTTCACAGACCACACTTGTTACTGTAATACCCAGCTACCTTCCAGCAGTGCATTAGGCAGTGCAGGTAATATCCATTATGGGCTGCTCCTTCTCTGGCTGTTTCCCTGGGGAGAATACAGAGCACAGAGCAGAGCGGTTTGGTACAGCAACTAGGCATCAGCCACATGCTAGACAACAAGGAGACACAGACTGTATATATAAACTATTTAATATTCAAAGAAGATGCATACAGTACTTCAAAATAAACACACGGCTGTTACCACACATACCCTGGGAGTGCAGCTGAAACGACCGTTCAGCTACAAGCAACGAGAGAATTAGGAGAAAGGATTTTTAGAAAGTAACTGTCAGACAAATGAAAGCTGTTGGAAGCATGGAAAGCAGAAAAACACCATGAAAAGTGAGTTAGGAAAGAATTAAACAAATCCCAAAGCAGAAGGATAAAGCATTTGCACTTAGCTCAGTAACAGCCTGAAGTCCATCCAAGGCATTACAAAACAAAGTGAGAAACGACATGGCAGATTAAAAGTAAGGGAAAATTATTTTACCCAGAGGCTTTTATCAGAAAGCAGTAAAAACACTGAGAGATCTAATCACAGTGAAGGATGACCAGGACAGGGTAAGTTGTGGTCCCTGCCTGGTTTGGGGAGCGAGAGTGGGGGAAATGTAAGAGAATTTCCTGTTTAGAAGGGAAAGTTTAGGGCAACAAGGATGAAAGAACAGATTTGGAAAGTATCAATGCTTTAGAGTATTTTAATAGCAAATCCAACTACAGCCTGCTGTCACCCAAGGTAACATATCTAAACAGTATCTGAAAAGTAGAGTCAACAGTTATCTTTACTCAGGACTTAAGTCCTCTTAACTGACTACAAAAATTTGATTTAAGCATTTATAGCTTCCTCTTTTATTATAAAGTTTTAATATTGCTCTTTAATTCAAGTATTTCTTAGAGGTTTCTGTAGTAAGAATCAGTTGAAAGGTTTTCCCTCAATTTGTAAATATTTCAAAGGTAACTGCAGCCAATGTATTAAAAAAAAAAGCTTTAAGACTAACAGTTTCCTTTCTGAATCTTGCGTTTACAGAACAAAGCAGACTCTCCCACATTGTAACTCTATACATGCTCAATACATTTCCAGTTATAGCCCAGTTACACCAGATAGGATATTCAAAATGAGACATTATTGCTAAAATAAACACATTTTCCCACAAAGGGTTTTATGAAACAGCATCTTGGCACTAAGGTGCCTCTCCTTTCATGGACCACAGATGCAGTCAAAGTGGAAGCAACAGACAGACCTTAAATATACTAAGATTAATTTTACAAACAATATATGATATAACCAGCATATGCTAAAGTGATAAAATAATTTCTGTCCTAACTTTGATGCTATCTTTTCTTCTCAGGAATTTCTCACTTCATGACAGGTAAGTTCAGTAAATGACAGCATATTCATTCTTAAATGCTTGTTCAAAAAAAAAAAAAAAAAAAAAAATCTGAAGACTGTCTTTTTATTTTTAAATATGCCTTTCATCAGAGTAAGTCCTGAGTCACAGGAACTAGTAGTGACTGCAATGTCATTAAGAAGTGACAAGCCACCAAAATAATCTTGACAAATAACATTGTTAAAGCACTTGCCACCACAAAATAAAGTTTTATTACCTAAGTTTATCTGAAACACAATCTGTCAAACTTCTTTTATTCTGCCTCCTATTCATTTATTTAACCTCCTATATGCGTAAACCTGTTCTGGAAGAAACATCTGACTCTATCTGACTCCTTGCAGTACTTGACTTCTTGAAATTAAATAAATAAATAGATACAGCATAGGCCAGGTTAAGGCTCACATCTCTGCACTACCACTGACTGACAACAACAGAAGCGTTAACATAACAGGGCAAAACTATTTCGCACATGAGATTGCTCAAGTCATCGCTCAGAGTTTATGCTGGTAAACACCACCTCACACCTGCTTACTTCCATGTGCCTCCCCAGAAAAGCAAGCATGGGCTCAAATTCTCAAGATGGGTCAAAAAAGATAATACATAACCCCCGCTCCTAACCTCAAGGCAGCTACTAAAACCACTTCATAAACACCAATTGGCCCTGGCATAGTTCAAATTAAAACAGCAATCTAAATACTAACAGTCTTGTTTCCATCAGCACCTCTTCCCATTATTTTAAACGAATAAAATAAGAGATTCATTATACCAAACATCAGGCTAACATTCTGCATCCATGCACAAACAGCTGGAGAACTAATTGCAAATTAGTTGCATATGTAAATATGCAGATGAATATGCAGATATTACCTTGAGTTGAAGGAGGAGGATGCTCCTGTGGCTTCTCTTGTGATAAAAGTCCCAGGTAGCTGAGAACTACGTATTTTGTTTCGTAGTGAAATCCTACAGGCACAGCAGTAGAGGACGCCATCGGGTTGGCTTGCAACGTGGCAGTGCTCTTATGGGGCACGTAGGGTTTTCTCTGGGTAACCGAGGAAGACTGTAAGGAAAGAATAAGAGTATTTTGTTTGGGTTTTTTTTTTATAAGGTTGCAATAGGTCATGAACTCATACATAACAAGGAATTACATAACAATCGCGAAGTAATATCCAGGTTTTTGCCCTGATATCCTATGCATTCATATTTTAATAAGAACAGTGCAGAGTAAAACCACCTGCCTCCCAGCCCAGCACCCTGCCTGCCTGCTGCCAGCAGCACCATTTCTCACTCCTGCTTGGCATACCTACTCTCACATCAAAGCAGACTGAACAGTTCCTCACCCTGTGTCTGCCTCCTAATGCCTCCCAACTCAACCACGCACAAAAATACACATGTATTCATGCAAAGAGGTTTTAAGGGATTCTGAAGGCTTAGTTAACTACAATTTGAGGTAAAAAGACAGCTTCTCAGGATTCTCTCTTCCCCTAAGCCTCCAGTGATTACTTTCCCAATTCTCTACTTTCTCAGATTTTCTATGATGATGCTTAAAAATTTTAATGCAGAAAAAGTGACCGCAATTGCCTCAAATTCATTTTACAGTTCCAACAGCAATGGAAAACATATGGTCAACAAAGGAAATGCCACATTCATTGTAGGGATTGGAAGAACAGATGGTTGTGTGTCCTGGATTTCTCACTCAGACATCAAGACTTACAAAACAGAAATCCACACCTAACAGCAACATCTGCCCAAAGAACTTCCCTGTTTTACTTTATTTGTTTTGTCACTCTTTTCAAACATCCAAATAAGTAGTTTTTCCAATAATGAAAAACTAAAGCAGAGAGAAAGTAAAAGCCATAAAGGACAAGGGAAAAAAAAAAAAAAAACATTTCAGAAGGCAACATGGAAGTGGGGAAAAAGCCATACAACAGACTGAAAGGAAGTTTCAGATTAATCAACATCTTTTAGCCCTTTATATTAGGAACAGTCTGGATAACTACCTCCAACACACAATCTACTTGACAAATCAACAATATTTAGGGCTTTAAGATGAACCCTCAAAATTAAGTTCTCCATCACTTCTAAGAGTCACTCCCAAACAAGTAGTAGTCCAC